TACTAGCCCATGTTTCCTTCCCTCAGTTTCCCAAACCCCAGGTAGCTCAAGATGCTACATGAGTTTCTGTCATTTGACTTTTCTTCAAGACTCATATTTTGTGAGATTTCCACACATCTATATTTAATTAAGTGTATTTCCTATTATGAATCTGTCTTCTTCGATAGTTTTACCTTTTGCAATTAAATCTTACATCTGGACTATTTTCATATTCTACTTTTAACTCCTGTCTTTTTTTTTTCTCCCATACAATACTCCCTCATCTTCCACTTCCTCTTTTCTCCAACTTTTAGAAAATGAACAGTCAATTAATCTCCAGTGATTTTTTTGTTTGTTTTGTTTTGTTTTTGAGTATGTGTACTTGTGACCCATGTGCCACTAAATGCATGTGAGGACAACTTGCAGGAATCTGTTCTCTCCTTTCACCATATGCAGAGCCATGGGTCCTGGAGATTGAACTCAGTCAGACCTGGCAGCAAGCACCCTTAGCAGCTGAGCCATGTTACCAGCCTGTTCACAGGGATTTTTAAAATATTTTTTTAAAAAGCAAAATGTATAGGGCTGTGTTTTGCTTTGTTAGGATGGGGGTCTTGTGGTATAGTCCAGGCTAGCTTTGAACTCCGTCTTCCTGTCCCAGTCCCAGGAATGCTAGAGTGTTAAGTGTGCACCACTGCAAGGGACTGTATCTTTATGTGGGGGGAGGGGGGTAGTTAGGACCCAATAAGATGGTCCTATGAGAAACCTGGAGGCTGAATGAAACAGTTGGCCTACTAACAAGTCATGGATTAAGTACTCCTGGATTTGGGTAAGTGTGTGCTATTTTTACTAATTTCCTTTAGTCAAGAGAAGAAGAAATTGATTAAAGCAAACTGTGTCTATCTTCTCTCTAACTTATACCATTCCTGTTAGGTGTGTGTCTCCTTCCCTCCTGGTGTAGATGAGTACCATGAAGCTGTCATCCTGATCCACATTGGGTCTTAAGATTCCAGCAAAGCCTTGACTTTCAAGCCAGCCAAGGATTCCTTCCCTAGTGTGCATCCCTTGGAATCCTGGAGTGCTTCAACATTTATACGAAGAATGACTGAGCTTCTCGGTGAATCCACCAAGAATAGCTATTAGGTAATTTTTCTCCATGAACAGTCTTTTATCTTTCTACCTGCCAATGAAGGTACCAATAAATACTTGCTGACTTTTATCATTCTGCTAACCTTCAGATTCAGACTTGCTGGTAATTTCAGTAATTGCTGGTTTGCATTAAGAGCAGGAGATTAGAGATTAAGGTCCAAGGAAGATAAATGATTTGCTCAGAGGCATGTAGAGTAACCAGGTCATTGTCTTCCTGTTCCCTCTTTTCTGAAACACCTTATCTTTTCACAGAGTGAAGAGAACTTTTATCCATACTAACTGAGCCATCATGGCCTATTTTCATAGTCCTTCTGCTACTTAAAGGAGTTGTGACAGGCAGACCTAAGTGTCCTTTATGGGTCTGGCTGCTGAAATTCTGAAGAAGATTCTGGAAGCTAGACAAGGTAACACAGACCTGTACTCCTAGAATTTGGGTGATGGCAAGAGGATCAGTAGTTCAAGGTCATCCTCGATAAACGTGGAGTCCAGGCAATCTTTGGCTATATGAGATCCCATTTCAAAAGCATACCCCCCCCAAAAAAAAAGCCCCAAACAGCGTCAACAACAAAAATTAAAAAGCAGCTTCGAGAGTCACACCTATCTCTCTCTCCCGCTGTGTCTCTAATAAACAAAACTAACCTGCTAGATCTGGCTGCCTAAAAGGGTCCCTTTCAATGGTGCCCACCTTCATCAACATCCAGGAGCGCTTACCATGCAGCCCCTGCTGTGTATGTATAATTACAAACGGAGGCAAAGGTTTCCGAGGAGCCTGCACCTTGGGGGAGAATGCAATGGGAGGGCTTGGTTTGGAAGAGGCCAGGGGTGTGGAAATGAGGGTGTTAAAGGCTTTTGCAAGGGTAATGGGTTTTACATATGTGATCCAAATAGAAAGGATCTTGGAAGGAGATTCCCCCTTCATTCATGGGCTACTTGCTAGAATCCGCCTTGGTCCCCAGAATTATGTAGGCATTCAGGGGCAGCTGGGGAAACCTTCACACATGCTAATACACAGCATTTTGAACTTGATTCACTAGGAATTCTCTTCGAGGTGAATGAGGGGTGTTATTTCCAATTTAGAGGGAAATGGAGAAGCTTCCCCACAAACAAGCTTAAGGAAATGCTTTTTTCAGAGTAAATCCTACCCCACTGGGTATGTGGTAGTGAAAGGAGCTCCACAGGAGACGCGGGTCATTGCTGGAAAGTTTTGGTGGACAGGAGCGGGTTATTTTTAACCCCATCATTTCAGAAACAAACAGACCCTTAAGAATGTTTGCCTGCCTGAACGGAAGTGAGACGCTGTGAGATAGAAGGGAGGGAAATGTCCCCACAGTGCGGATGAAAAATACATACACCCTGCTCTGGTCTTAGTAAGATGCCAGACTCTTTCTATTAACGCTACTTCTACTTCGTAAGTGAGGCAATGGGGGCACAAAGAAGCCAAGTAGATGGTGGCTTTCCTTGATGCCACCTTCAATGCCAACTCAAGGTTTACTGATTGTTACTCTGGGCGATGTGGACCGTAATTTGCACCGAGTCCAGATGTCCGGAATTTCGACGAACCCTGATTTCGGAAAGGTGGGGATGCGTCTCCTCGCGTTTCACACTCCCTCCCGCGGTAGCGAGGATTCGCTAACTGTCTCGCGGGGGTGGCCCCACTCCGAGGTCGGGCGGTGAGGCTCCGCTTTCTGCTCCGTCTCCGCGAGGTGTCGCCTTCGGCTGGAGAAACCGGTGTGGCGCCACCCTAGTAGCCCGCACTTATTTATTTTCAAACAAGGGGGGCGCCCCTTCCTTTCAATTTGAAACTAGAAACCTCCTGCGGTCTCGTTCCTACGTGGGCGCGTCCTCGGCCTCCCATTTTGCACTCCCGTCGCCTTCTTTCGAG